TATATATATATATATATATATTGACGCAGTGCATGGAGAAGTGGATCAGTTCAGTTCAGTTTTTACAACCATTAACCATGCATTTTCGTGCACCGGTTTTCGTTGCTGTCTCTTGGTGTCCCATTTGGATAGAACAGCAGAAAGATAGGAATGTTGAAAGCAAATTTAAGCGGAAGATGAAGAATTCATACAGAATGGTGTTAGGGTAATGACGAGTGGATGCAACAGCGCCACTGTTTGCGACATCCAGCCATATCACTCAATGTCTCTAACCATCGTTCACCATTATCCCGAGGTCCCCAGCGTTCCACACAAACCAAATCATCGGGATGCAAAGGAATCTGCGAAATTTCGCAAACACTTTGCTACCGCCTGCCAGAAAATAATAGTCGTCTTTACCCGGCTTGAAAAGTATCTATGAATGTGTAACAGCCAACTATTTCAAAGCAGATCACCTGTTGAAGTTTACCGAAACCGCATGCAATGTGCTGGAGTGACTTGTCCTCAGACAAGGCACATGATGATTCAACGTTTGTGAATACTCACCTGAACTGGATGGAAAAGCGGTATGCGACACCACAGAACCGGCTGTTCCAGGTTCTTGTGCAGGTGTACTATGAAGAACCAGGTGTGGAACAAAAGCTATGGATCGAGAGCCTTGCTGAGCAGCACCCACAGTGAGATCAATGGGGGTTCCAACACTACCGATAGAAGATAAGGAATGTTCACGACGGACAAACGTTGAAGCAGTAGGCGCTGCTGCAGAGTAAGCCGGAACCGTCACATAGCGGGGCACGTGATCGTCATCCGCATCCACGTCGGATGAAGTTGCAACAGCTGTTGCTGAAGGCGAAGCACCGGTGGTCACTGTGGCAACGCTACTTGGGAGGAGATAGACAGTCGGCATTGGTGAACCAGAAGCCTGTGAATCATGTGGATGGGACGCCTCGTGGTCTGAACGAGAGACCATGTGTCGGGCACGCATCCCGCCTCCACCACTGCCACTGGGGACCGCAGTCGATAATGTGGAAACGTCGACGACTCGGTCGACGTCACCAACTGAGACCGACTGGGAACAAGGCGATACCGGTGGCTTCTGGAACGGTGGACTGAGATTTGATTCGAAGAACAAAAGACCCGGATCGTGAGGGGCTGGAGCCACGACGGAACGCTGGCGTTCACGACGCCTGACGGGATAAAACGGAAAATGAAATGACGCAATGAGCGACTGTAATAAGATAAACACTACTTCAAGAGGAATACCGCGGGTTGTTTGTCACATACACAAACGGAATATATACAAGAGCAAGAACAATGAAAATCGTCTAGGCACAAGATGTTCACGATAATACAGCGAAAAGAAACGGCAGAAATTGGACTGTTTCCCACTGGGAAAGATCTGATTGGCCGCTATTTCCCAAACACGGATTATGAAAAAAAGATAAATAAACTGACGGCCGAAAACCTCAACGCGATGAATGTTTACACCACACGCGCGCTCAATAGTCGCCAGGTTGTACTGTTCGTATCGTTTTGATTTCGAAAACTATCGCATCGATAGAGCCCAGGGCACGTTTACGATTTTTCTGATATGCGGGTGTTCATTGTCATTTACCACAAATCATTCCGGCAGGACAGACAGTCGATTTCTGTAAATTAGGTCTGAGTAATCGAGAGTAATAGGTGAAAAAATACTGTCGCTTGTTGGCCAGTTGGTCAAAACGGTGTGTCGTATGATTCATGCGAAAAATTCTTTCTAGTGGGCTCTCTTCAAGGTACTGCTGTACTGTTACTATTTTATTTCGATTTCTCTCCTCTGATAAACGAAAGATGAACTACGTCTTGGCAGTACGGTGTCGTTTGCATACTCCGGGTCAGACAGTCTACCACCTGGAAGCAAATCGATTCCATTAACCTCCCACGAGGACGGGGTGCGATGTGAACAGAGTCTAACTATTGTCTATTCCTTCAGCATTCATATTCCACTCCTGACCTAATGGAGGCTTATGCGATTCGCTGCCGCCATTCGCAGGGAATTCGGTTACCGGTCCCCATGATTGACCAGTAGGTCCTCGTGACCATAGAGTTTACCCGGTCTGTTTTTCATCACATAAGTATGCAGCAAAAAAGTCTAAACACATACAGACGGGGGTTGTGAAAACGAAATATTAGCAGTAAATGAAGTAAATATGTGGACCAACCGTGCAGAGGAGCATAAAACAGAATAAATTAGGTGTTAAGATACATCTTCAATTTGAAAAAAATTATGGGTCGATTATCAATAACAGTTAATGGACGCATAGACAAACTGCCCATCAGGTCCATCGGCTGGAAGTTTCCCCCAACCATATTCGTAGAAAAATAATGCCACACCACTTGCGAGATCAGTGGTTCTGTTAGCCTGAATGTACAAACCACGAAACGGCTGTGCTGTCACTCGAAAAGTAGCACACACTGAGGCGTGATGAGTGACGTCCCCGATTCCGGGTTATGGAGGAGAAAGAAAGCGCGTACTTGTAGGAAACGAGGTCAAATCGATACGTGTGAGGATATAAAACTGCCAAAGCAGATGTAAAAGGCGTAGTACACCACCGACTAACAGCTATTTGTAACCTAGGTAACGAAAATTCGATCTTAAAAATTATTAGAAACAAGCCCCCATTATGCCAAACCAACTGAAGGTTTTTTCATATAATTTGGATTTTATTGTTTTCAATCTCTTCGCAGTGGGTAAATTGTCTGCGTAGAGATAGATTGAGACCTTCTAACTGATAAGAGGAAGACGATCCTTTTGACTTATGACGAAAATCAAAAACAAGGTAACGAGACATTTAAGTAGTTTATTCGGCATTGGGTTAGTTCAGAACCTGATCGCCGGAATTCTGCAACGTACATACCGCTGGTTGCCGCAGTGGTACCATAGATGCATATTAACTCCTTCGATCGTCGATCTAGAGGTTAGCCGAAAAACAACAACTAAAACCAGTGTAACAAAGTGCTACCTAAATGACTGCACAAACTGGAACTGAGAACGGCAGTCGGTNTAGGAAGGAACAATAGAATACGAAATAACGTAGATTAGCAGCAGAACCCCCGATTTCCGATTTCAAAGCGTCTGGATATGACGAACTGCTCCAACCGAGAGCTGCTTAAGCAATCGGAAGAAAACAGAATATTAATCTGGATTTGTTTATAGGATGAATTCTTCCTGTAAATGAGGCGTGAGCTGAAACGATGGGAAGCATTAGATAGCTATTTCGACTTGGTTGGATCTTGTCAACAGTGCGAATCCATCGACCCAATTGGGGATCGAACCCAGGACCTCAAAGGTGAAGCGCAAGCATATCCACTCGGCCACAGGGTAGCTGATCAGACCGTTTCTCATTTGGAATATACACGATATAGCACAGACCATCTATGCGAGCTTGTTGCGAGTATCGTCCTCCCTCATCTCAACACTAGCCTCCAGGGTTATGACTCGGTTGGAAACGTTCACAACCTGATCATCTGTTGTAGAAGAGTAACACAGGATTTGATTTGTTCATAGGATTTAATTGTTGTCTGAGTACCGAGCTGTTGAATTACTCATAATTCTGACCATTGTTGGTTCTTCTGTGGCATCCATGTGCATGTGTGCTTCTAAAGAATGCCGTGACATTCTCTCTGTGATCAAAGAAATGGACACCTGAGGTGTGCCATTCCCTTTATGGCATCTCATCACTTGCAGTGAGCTGAATGAACACATTACTCGAAGAGGCATCAGGTGTTTTGAAACCAACACCGTAGAATGATTGACACAAGAAGTGATAATTATGCATCATAGCACCCACCTAAGTCAAAGAAAGCGCGCGATACAGTTCACAGAAAAGTCACAAAATGTATACAAAGCTGAATGCATCCACATTATTATTGAGGTGTCCAAACAGTCAAAGATGACAGAATATGGTTCTTCACAGAGCAGTAGTTTTAAGCGTTTTTGAACGATCTGATTTTAGCAGTTACGTGGCGGTATGAGAAACACGTCTGAACACTTAGGACCCAGGTTGTAAACACCATAGCTTGTTTATCTGACTGCTATTCGAGTGGTCGCGAAATCCGATAACAAAACGTTTCGGAGTAAAGTGGTTATGTGATCAGTGTAATAGTTACTAGTGCGGACAACCCTTGATTTAGGTCGCGAGCAGAAACTGAACAGCATGCATGTTAATTTGTCTCATTTAATCCAGTAACTGCTGTAGAGGAGGCACTAATCTGACAGATCAGAAAACCCTCAGATGTTGGGCTTGGATGCACTTCGGGCACTTTCCTGAATATCACACTGTGAAGTTCTCGTTTTTTGTGCAAATCAGAAATTGTCACACAACTATCAAGAAACATTGTTTTAATTGTTATTTGACAAATTGAAGCATAGAAAATGTTCATGTGTGGCTGAGAATCCCGTCGAACCTACTGAACTGTCCATAGCTATAAGATGTGTAAAGCGTTATACAGTCACATCACGATGATCCGAAAAGGTGCCTTTTGTGAACTATGCGCTTCATTAAAATACTAACGATGACAACTTAGTCCTTATATATATGAATAGACATATGGGGTAGTAACTTACAATAGACGACCAAAGTACAAAGAGCCTAAGCTGATTGGTTTTATTGGACAGGTAACTTACGGCGAAGAAAACATTGCGCCCTGGAGTGATTGCCTTATGCACAGTAGGGCACAAACATGCACAACATTATTTGAATGAATAACAACAGTATTTTTATAGCCAATTCATCCCCTACCTTGGCCAAGGCCAATAGGTTATATGCAGATTGATAGGTACAAAACAATCCGGTAGTGATACCTTTCAAAACTGCCACAAAATGGACGATAAATAAGGGCCCTATTAACCCATACCTTCACAGAGGAGTTGTGCAGACACCTTTACGGTTCATCCAATGCATTAATTGAAAATTCTGTCAAAGAAGCCACATTTGTAATCACATATACTACATTTTCCAATTATCAATAATATTCGTCTGTTGGCAATCAGTCACGAAATAAAGAAAGAAGCACACAATGCCATTGTCCCATAGAATTACAGCAAAATCTAATCGTTGCAGTTGATTACCTGTTCAAAATCCCAACTCATTCACCAAACTGAACTCGCCCATAAGGGATATAGCCTGAATGAGTGTCAAAACGGAGCGCGCTGTCTCAATCTATCAAAAATGCCGGATGCAAAATGACCTATAACAGTGCGAGTGATAGTTATTCTGATAGGATGAACGCAAATGAAACTGAATCCGAGGTAGCTAACTCCACGAGTCTGCGCGAAATTTTGCGATAAGTAGAGGATACTGATGACTAACCTGTAAATCAAGTCGATAAGTGTCCGCATGGAGTCGAACACCATTGGTGTTTTTGATTTGGCCACGAAGAGAAAAAGAACACAGCCTTCGCAAACAAGATGAACATATAAGAACAAAAAAGAACGTATGCCAAAGGATAGCTGACAAATATCCGAAATTCCAGTTCTATATAATGTGGAACGGAAGACGACGGAGTGGAGAGAGTATCTAATTTACTCCAGTGCAGCATATGTTTTGTTCGCAAGTGAAGAAGGTAATTCGATGGTGCAAAAGGAAACTCCGTTCATCCATTTCATCAATCGAGTGCATGACATAAGGCACGTCGTCACATCAAAAACATCTATGCGAATACTAACTCCAAATGGTGAAGATAGCATGGGTCCGATGGGGAAAACAATGCACAATTAGAAGTATACACCTTAAAAATCTCACCGCCGTGGATGCTGTATTAGGCCCATGAGGGCGAGGGATTAAGCATAGGCGTATTGGCATAGCCAGAGAAGCGCAGCTACACGAGGACGAGGTGAGGACAACTGAGACAGACGGTATAGGCGGGTGTGCGCATGGTGGCGAACAATGCAAGACCGAGGGTATCGACCTTCGATTAGATGGGTCTCTGTAGCCAATCAACAGCTTGTAACTGATGTATCGATCGCATAACATGAGCCAATCAGCAACAAATCAGCTGTTTTCTAGCGTAGCCTTCTCCTGTGGATGTATGTGATGGCCTGTTCGGTTAACGCCTTTGAATGTGTACGGATAAACGCGCACGCACGCACACACAAGTGCGGCAATGGTGTGCGTGTGGGGGAGAGTGCCATAGACGTAGGTACATC